CGTGCAATAATCGTCATACTAGTAGTTGATACATACTTGATACAGTACATGTTTTGATACAAAATCGATAAAGTATCAAGTATGTATCAACTACTAGCATGTCGATTATTGCACGCTGCATAGACATAATGACCACCATAGTTGGGTATTTGGACTCCCCGAACGATTTACAATATGATGGTATCGAAGCGAGAGACTTCATTTTTTTCTTCAAAGTCGGCATGCATCGCCCTCAGCTTGCGTCTGCAACACATTTATCCGGATAAAAACCGGATAACGTATTAGAATGCACCATTCCAGAAACTGCACGTGCCTTCTGCCTTCGAGCACTTCCTACCGGTATGCGGTTATCGTGGCGTCACACGGAAATTCTCTGGCATCATGCAAGACGATGCATTCCGCGCTAGTGAAAGACTAGCCCATAAAAATGTGTCACGCTCTAGCACTAATAGCTGTTGGCACGAGGACAGTACTTTGCAGCGTCATCATGCTCCGCCGCCAGCCACGCGACCCAGACGCTAAAATCACTGACGACGGAAACGCAGCGATGGTGAGCCACACATCGTTGCACCACCAGATTCAACGCGTTTCTAGCTGACTCACAATATCCCCCAGCCAGCTCTTTCAAAGACACTACGCGGCTGCATTGAGCACGCGGCGTCCAATTACAGTGTACATGGCACCAGTCTTCATATATCGATACTAAGCCCAAGCAGCGATTCTAAGAGTACTGTGGTCAGGCGGGCCGACGTGTGATGGATTGAGTGCCGGAATTACCTATGCAAACACATAACCTGTCAAATGCAGAGAGAACAAGGTATCTGGAACCTGTATAAAATAATTTACCTACAAGAATGTATCAAGAGATCCCAATCTTTCAACGGGAAGCAAGCATGGACACACGCGTCCTCGCGAAGGAAGCCGCCCTGGGCAAGATGCAAGCTACCCTCGGCAAGATGCAAACGCCGGATGAAGAGATGTCGGCGAAGACACCCGCGAAGCAGGCCCTTCATATGACCATTTGCAACATGGACCTCGTCGACGAGGCCCTTCCGGAGGTACGTCTTCCTTCCCGACATGCACGAGATCCTACTACATCTTTGTCTAGGTGGAACAGGACTCGGAGGACAACGAGCCTGGCCTCGCCCTTCTGTTCAAGTGGAACGATATCGACATGCCAGCGTTCCTCGACGCTGTCAACGCTCCAGCGAGCAGTGGCAACCTTGCCCCCCCGTTCTGGATGAAGACGCTGCCTCCGAACGTCTCGTTTACTTCGTTCACAAACGATCTCTTTGAACAGCTCAAGCCCAACGCCGCCGACGACCGCGTGGCGCCGGGGTGGATTGCACCCAACACCATTAAAGAATACGGAGCCATTTTGGCAGCGCTGCGCGAAGTCGAAGCCGATCCGTTTATCCAGGCGGCCATGGCGGCCGTGCCACTGGACAATTGCTTGGCCGAGACGTACCACGTGACCTTGAGTCACCACATCCACCCGAATGACCGCCACGCCCCACCGACGCCGTTGCGCCGCGTGTTCCTCTAAGCGCGTCGACCAACATGACGATCGATTTTATCGCAAAAGACGCAGCTACAACCGGCATGTGTGTGCATCGATGCTCCCATTGCATTCATAGAACCGCTAGCACAAGAGCTTGCAGTGAGATATCACTCACGCACGCCTGCCTGCAAGCACTACACACCTTGATGGATCTCTCAACTAAACGATCATCGCATTAGTCGACAACATTACCAAAGCACACGGCGCAAGGGCGCTGGAGGGGCTACGCGACCCAATGGACCGCCCATGGGGCGAGGTTGGTGGGCTTTGTCCGTCAAATGGAACGTGTCGGCCAAGTGTTGACCTTCTGGCACCGCCGCCATGGCCGCTTGGATGAACGGATGGACTTCAACATCGCGCAGTCGAACGCCAATCTGGTGGTAACTTTCAAGCGAGTTGGGTGCGATCCAGACCGGCGCCACTCGGTGAGCGGGAGCGTTCGGCTTGAGGTGCTCGAACAAGTCGTCGGTGAACGAGACAAAGGTAACGATGTGGAGCTGCGCTCGCATCCAGACGGGGATGCTAAGGTTGCCGGCAGCAATCTGGGCGTTGAGAGCGTCAAGAAACGTTGCCATTGCTGTCATGTTCCACTTGAAAAGCACGGCCGGGTTGCCGTCGTCGACCACAATATTTTTTAAGTGCTGCTGCAGCTAGAGAACGTCGTGAAGCTGAGTGTGTGGGAAGGAAGACGCGCCTGTGGAAGGGCGTCGAGGTACGACGTCGCGCCGACGCGGCTCGTTTTCGTGCGAATTGTCGTCATCAGGGATAGAATCCCGGCCTGCTCGTGCGGCGTCTTTTCGGTTTGTGGTCTCCAGTTTACTACAGTTTGAGGGAAACCAGCCGTTGAGCGACGAGACGTATCGATAGTTGGTGTTTATTGACAGCTCGAGACCGTCATAATGCTAGGTGAGGACATCGTTGACTAATGCGTGTGTTTACGAGGACAACGCGGGAAAGGCGGCATGACGTTCATCGAACGAATAAAGACGCAGATGTGCGAAAGAATTGTTTCTTAACGTTAGCACGTTGACGATCATAAAGCTGAATCTAGCAGTCACTGCACAGCGGGTCTCGATACATCCTGTCGCTCAACAGCACATTTTGGAGTTTGGGCATTTGCAAGCAAGCCACCGCAGGACGCCTCAAAGTGCCGCTTGTGATCGACATCAAGATGAAGCCGCAACACCACAACACTGGTACGCCTTCCTTCCCAGCTCACAGAATCTCAAATCTCTCTACTAGCTACCGGTACTAGTACAACAGTACTCGGACGATGATGAGGTCGACGACGTCGTCGAAAAGGCCATCAGCATTACCCTTCTCTTCGAGTGGAACATAAACAGCGATATCCGCGTTCCTCGATGCTGTCAACGCCCAAATTACCCCCATACCCGTCTGGATGCAAGCATTCTTGATCACTAAAGTCACATTCATGACCAAGATGCTCGAATATCTCAAACCGAACACTAGCAACCACACTCTCTGCATTCCCGACGAGATCAAGGAGCGAGTACGCGAAGCCCGCAGCATCGATGATGATGATGTACGTATGTCGTGCTTGCACGGAAGAGAGTTCAACCTGAGCATGTGGATATCTTCACTTTCTGCCATTGAAGTGAGCTCATCTGCTCCATGCATGGCATCCAAGACAACACGAGACAGCAGGCATCTTCTTTATTACTACTGCGCGTGCATTGACACTTCAGTCGCACAAAAACACACCTGTCGTCCGTTGTCGTTGCGCGGTGCGCTTAGCTCGACGCGGAGAAGACGTACGGCTTGGCGTTGCGGAACGTCGACATGTCGCGGATCGAGTTGGAGTGGAACTTGTACTCGATGAGCGTGTTGGAGTCGAGCATGAGGAGCTCCTTGAGCTTCTCGCTGCAAACATCGCGTCAGAAAAGATGTCGAATAAGACGTGGTCGAAGGAACGTACCCGATCGCGAACCGAGCGCTGTCGTCCGTGTTGTCGGCGTTCCAGACCTACTCGCAGTCGTTCGCCAACGTGTCAAGAAAGGCTATCAGGTGTACCGAGATCATGTCTTCCTTGGAGCGGATCGCCATGGCGATGCCAACGACGTTGAGCGTCTCGAACGCCTCGCCGACCGCGGCGAAGCAGAGGTCCTGCCACATCTTACCGAGGACGTTGGCCTTCTTCTTGATCTTGAGGATCCAGCAGCCGCCGTTCGGGAAGGCCTATCGACACGCGTTGATACCACCCGATGCCAACAAAGTCGATGACGCACTTCCCACATCGGCGCGCAGTTGGGCGCATCGCGGAACAAGTACAGGTTCGTGTCCTTGTTGAGCTGCGACGGGCGCTTCACGTGCACATAGTGGCTACCAGAACGTCATGAGCCCACTTCGTCCATCACGCAATCTTCGTACCGCCAAAAGTCTTCGACCGTGCCAAAGGCAGCGATCTTCTGCAAGTTCGACTGGTAGGTGCTAAAAGCCGTCATGAGCCTCGAATAAGCATGCAATCAGAACGTACTCGAGGTCGGTGCGCTTGGGCAGCTTGCGGTCATACCTACATTTGCGCATGAGCAGTGGCCGACAGACGTGTGGCCGTCGTACCACAAGCACCAGCCCGTCTGGAGGCTGTGCTCCTCGTCGGCAGCAGCGTCTACAGAGGCCATGAGCATCCACCCGAGCTACGTCAGGTCGTACCGTGCTTCACTTGGGCGTCCGTGGCGGCCATCGTACAATTATAAGGTCCCTCCTCCAACCATGCAAAAACAGACCAATCACGCGCAGGCAATCGCGTCGCGCCAATCACCGGCGAGAATGCTATTGCGCAGGGGCCCCATGCAAACGGGCGCACGTGTGGCATACATACACTTGATTAATATATGCTTGCATTTTGGGACCCCCCTGGTCGAGCACAAGAATGCAGGTAACCGCTGAATGATGGACAGTGGAACATCTCGAGATCGTCCATTGCGATCGATCGAGGGCGATGCGCCGCATTCGACACCAGTTCTCACATACATGGCGCCAAATGGACAACTGGCGAGGGTAAGTGCGTAGGTTGACGCTATGGTTAGCGTCTATGGCTACCCCTGGCCTTGCAGACGCCGGCAAGCTGGGTGTCTGCGTCCTGGGCGCCACAACATCTAGGAGTGTGCATGGATTGGACGTTGCCTGGCTGGCTTACACTCAAGCTTAGCATAATTGTCGTACTACTTGGTCATGTACGGTCGATGCGCAAGCGAGTCCTTGTGCCAACTCTCATTGCCGCCAGTGTGGACTTTACACTTCAATTGAGACGAATACGATAAACATTGAAAGAAAACATTTAAATAAACGTGGCATTTGTATGCAATATTAAACAAAATGGACCGTGGTCCATCGTAACTGCCTGACGCACTTCGTGATTTGCAAGCATCCGCATGGAGCATCCGCTTGTGCCGATCCCGGTGCTCTTTGGTCCGACCGAGTATGCATCGCCCCGCGTCTCGCCGGACGGCGCCCACCTCGCGTACCTGGCGCCGAGCAGCAATGGCATCATGAACCTCTTCGTGCGGCCCAGCTCAGGTAGCGCCACGGCGGTCCAGCTCACGACCGAGGCGAAGCGCCCGATTCGGTTCTTTCGCTGGGCGACCAATGGCACGCATGTGCTGTACGTCCAGGACGAGGACGGCAACGAGCGCTTCCATCTCTTTGCCGTTCACATTGCGACGGCGACGACGACCGACCTCACGCCACTCGCACACGCCAAAGTGCTCACCACGTTCCCAATGACGTCGTTCTACAACCACATCAACCGGCTCACGAGCGAGCGCTTCCCCGACGACGTCGTTATCGGCATCAACGACCGCGACCCGAAGCTCTTTGACGTCTACCGTATCAACGTCGTGACAGGCGAGAGAACGCTGCTGGCCGCCAACACGGAGCGCGCCGAAGCGTGGATCGTCGACACCGACCTTGTCGTGCGTGGCGCCGTCTCACCCGCGGACGGCGTCGGCGACAAAAGCTGTGCGTCCGTGACGACGCTGCGAGCCCGTGGCGCGAAGTGGCACGCTGGGGCCTCAACGACGACGTGACGCCGCTCCAGCTGAGCGCCGACGGCGCGGGCATCTACGTCTTGACGTCGCTTGACGGCAGAGACAAGTGCACGCTCCGGCTCGTCCTCCTCTCGACGATCGATGGCTCGGAGCTACGCACGTTGGCGCATCACCCGAAAGCAGACATTGGCGACGTTGTCTTTGGTATCGACGGGTCGCCCG